ACAAGGCCTTGATTGCTGTCTGGGGCTGCTAGCCATGCTTTCTCAGTTTGGGTTTGAGATCTTCCTCCCTCCTCCAGGCCTATATAAATTGGCCTAAACTACCACATGTGCACCTGGAAAAAGTAAGCTTCCTTCTCAGGTGTGGCTTAAAGGCTCAGTTATAATTTTTCACCATTGTTGGCAGGAGTGTTTTCAGCTGCTTGGTCTCTCGGCTGCTGGGCTGCTCTAGGAACCTTGCTTAGGATGCATTTCCTCTGGAAGTAGTTGTTTTTCAGGATGCTAATATTATGAAGAAATCTGACATTAAGGACGTCTGGGGAGGGGCTGCTCAGGAGCAGCAGAGGCATAGAAGGCAGCCACATCGCTGAGCCCTGCATTTCCTGTTTGCTGTGTTCTGGAGAGAGCAGCTGTTTGCTTTCAGCACCCCAGTGAGCAAGCCTTGGCGCCAGGCTGCCTCTCCCACACTGGGTGTTGTGGCCCAGATATTTTCACTGTAGTGGAAATATCAGACTCTGGGGGGCCACAGCCCAGAGGTGCTGGCACTTCCCAGATGGTGAGACAGTGCCAGCCTCTGTTTCTGCAAAACTCCAACAGGCAACTCTGAGCTTCAGAAATAGGCAGTGTACAAAATCCTGCCAGACTACAGTCTTCTGTTTGTTTCATGCCCTTGTATGTTTGATGGCCCAAGCCAATGAATTTGAGACTTGGATGAAAAATGTTGTCCCATGGGCTTTCTCAAGGGTGCTAGGTGACTGCTTGAGGGGGTGGGGGCAGAGACACTGTCCTCCAAACCCAACTTTGGGATTCAAGAACCTAGATGAAATAGCTGGTGACAGCAAAAGCCTCCTCCTGCTCCACCCCACCCCCTGTTATCTAAAGGCTACCAAAGTGATGGCCACTCTGGGAGAGGCTGTCTAGCATTTCATTCTTCTTCACTGGAGAACCTGTGATAAGACTGGCTCTGCTCTTCACTCCTCTCATCTCCAGGCATTTGTCAGCACTTTGCTTCTCTCTTAAAGGATGGACTTTCCACTTTCAGGATCTTTGCACATGTGCCTTTCATTACCCTTTGATCTGTAGCCATCCCTAAATAGTTCATTTAGGTCAACAGGAATGGTGTAAGGGAGAGTAAAAGAAGGAATGACAAAACCCTTTCTCTGTGGTGAATGAAGCATTGAGATTTCTGGATATCTGATGTTTTGTACACACATAGTCTATTTGCTAGTTCCTGGCCAGCCCTGTGAGGGTGGCCAGAATGCTTCTTTCTAACTTGAGAGAGTAGCAGGGAGGCCTGCTGGGCACATCGGCCTGGGCAGGCACAGGGATCACTGCTAGGTACAGATGTGGAGAACAGCTTATACAGAGAATGGAAAACCCTCCCCTCTTTATTTCCTTCATTGTTTTATGTACTTTTTGCTATTTTTCCATTATCTATTTCAATACTAGATGAAGTCTAGTGCCTCCCTCTGCTCTGCTTATTACACTGCCTGTAATACCTGACTTCCAATAAAAATGAGATGGTCAAACCAGACTTCATATTATTTTCCTTAAAAACCAGGAGAGATTATTACCATATTTTTGACTTGTTGGAACAGCAGGAATCCCATGATGGACATATTTCTCATTAAAAGTTTTAAAGCATCTAAATGAATGCCTTTTGAGTTATTTTTATTATAATTTTATTCATTTTTCTAGGGTGCACAGATCAATGAACCACATGGTGAATTTGATGCGAATTGGCTGACAGGGAAGTTGGTGATGCTTGAAGAAGAAGTCTAGGCTTTTCTGTGTCAGACTAGCATTTAATAATAGTGCTGGCTGCTATGTGTTGACCTTAACTGGGTGCTGACTACCCATACTTCACGTAATATCACATTTAATCTTTACAGTAACTCCATGAAATGGGTAGTTATCATCATCATTTTCCTGATGAGAAAATTGAAGCTTAGATTTTTACCCCCATTGTTCTAGAGGAGGGCTGGCAAACTTTTTCTATAAAATAACAGAAAGTATATGTTTTGAGCTTTTTGGACCATACTATCTCTGTTGCCACTACACAGCTCTGCTGTTATAATACTAGAGAAACCATAAAAAAAATACAAAAACAAGAGTGGCTGTGTTCCAATAAAACTTTATTTATGGACTCCAATATTTGAATTTCATAAAATTTTTTTATGTCACAAAATATTATTTAAAAATTGTTTTCCAGGAGTGCCGGGGTAGCTCAGTCAGTTAAGCATCCAACTCTTGATTTCAGCTCAGGTCATGATCTCAGGGTTGTAAGATCGAGCCCAACATTAGGCTCTGCACTGAGCATGGAGCCTGTTTAAGATTCTCTCTCTCCCTCTGCCCCTTTCCCCATGCTCACATATGAGCTCTCTAAAAAAAATTGTTTTCCAATCATGAAAAATTATAAAAAACATTCTTCACTTGGAGGTTGTACAAAAATAGGTGGTGGGCCAGATTTGTAGATAAGAATAAGCAGGCAAGGAGGAATGGGATAGGATGGGCTGGTAAAGGCACACTCTTACCAGAGGGAAGAGCATGTGAGCAGGGAACACAGAGCATGATGTCTCTGAGGAACTGCAGGGAATGTGAGCACAGTTTGGTAGCGTATGAGGCAAGATGAGAGGAGACAGCAAGACCCAAATCATGACCTTGTAGGACCTTTCAAAGATTTTGGACTTTGTCCTTAGAGCAATAGGAAGCCATTGAAAAATATTAACCAAAGAAGTGATAAAGGCAATTTTTTCTTTTTTAAATTACTGGCTGAGGGGCAGCCCGGGTGGCTCAGGGGTTTAGTGCTGCCTTCAGCCCAGGGCATGATCCTGAAGACTCAGGATCGAGTCCCACGTCGGGCTCCCTGCATGGAGCCTGCTTCTCCCTGTGCCCCCCCTCCCCCTCTCCCTCTCCCACTCTCCCCCCTCTCCCTCCCTCCCTCCCTCATGAATAAATAAATAAATAAAATCTAATGACTAACTAACTGGCTGATAGGTGAAGAGTGGATCACAATTGGTCAGTAAGAGCAGAAGCAGAAAAACCAGTTAGGCAGCTGGAGAAGGGGGATGATGATGGTGTCTACTAGTAACGGTAGCCAGAACCATTTCCTGGCAACACATCAAATGGAGGTAGAACACATATGAAAACTCTGGTCCTCCATCTTCAAATCTCATGTCTTCCCTGCATGGTGTGAAATTCTTAACAGTCTCAAATGGACATTATGTATATCTGAATCTACCATTTATCTTTGAATCCTAAAACTGAAGAGCTACTCTTCCCTCACGCACAATTCTCTTCTTCTGGAGGAAGTGCTCATAAATGAGGATAATGTTTCTTGGGTTTGAGTTATTAATTTTCATTTCCTGAGGAAATTTATTTCATCAAGGGAAATAATCCCTTGTTCAAATAATAAAAAGACCAAAGACAATACTGTGGTAATGAGTTTATGTTATTTTTGTGCTGATGTTAGAAAGGTTACCGAATACTTCGTTGAAGGTCAGCTTTTCTTAAAATTTGTGTACCTTTCTCTTCCAAAATAGAAGTGGTACGTTCTCTTTTACTTTTGCAGGAATTATTTGTCTGGTTGGGCACTCACAGTGACATTCCGGTTTTGATACTAGCATATATCTCTGGATCAGAGCACACTATCCTTTGAACAATATGATGCTGAGGGGTTGGAGTTTGTTTCTGTGGAGTCCAGGACTGGGGATTAAGGAAGAAAGGAAAAAGGAAAGATGAGACACAGGCCTTTGGGCGGAGGAGTGATAGTGATTTTGCCTCAGCTTCTCTATAGGTTGTGACCCAGAGGTAGTAGTGGGTGATACTGACCCAAGGTAGGTGGAAGAAAGGGAACTTGAGAAAGTTATTAGGGATGAGAACCAGTGGTTATGACTTCTCAGTGAACGTTGGTTTGGGCTGATTTTTCATTTCAAATTTTCCTTATATTACTGCTATTTGTTACTTTGTATTCTTTCCTCCAATATAAAGCAAGATCTGTGGAGTCCGTGTCTGTATTTTAAGCATCTTCTCCCATTCTATAATCTACAGTGTCTTACACACAGTGGATGCTCAATATTGAACATTGGCTCTGTTGATTTGTTGCCTTTGGCATTCATGCTGCACAGTGCAACCTCTTGTCTCAAGGGCATCAGAGTTTTTAAATCTAAAATCATCACAAAGGAGACACTCAGCATATCCTGAAAGTAGGACAAATTTTGGGAATAAGCAGTAGGCAAGATTCAGGCTTCCACCGAGGATCTTCTCCTATTATGGGACTTTTGTTGACCACGTCTCTTTTTTTTCTACTCCATTTAATTAGCCTTTGATTACTTGTCTTTTTTTTAAGATTTATTTTTTTTTTATTCATGAGAGACACAGAGAGAAAGAGAGGCAGAGGGAGAAGCAGGCTCCATGCAGGTAGCCTGACGTGGGACTCGATCTCGGGTCTCCAGGATCATGCCCTGGGTTGAAGGCGATGCTAAACTGCTGAGCCACCAGGGCTGCCCTGATTACTTGTCTTTATTTTTGCATAGCAGGTGCTCAATATGCCAGAAGTTCACTTCTGGTATTGATTTTATTTATTTTCTCTAGACTCTTCGCATACTCATGCAGGTGTACATGGTGGGACTGAAGTTATAAGGTCAGAGATTTTGATATACTCTCTCCCTTCTTCCTTTCCTTTTTAAAAAATCAGTTTTTGAAAGTTGGTTATGTGCCAGGCACTGGGTTAAGTTCTGGGGGACAACAACAAAAGACATGGGGTCTGATTTCAAAAACATTCCAGTCTAGTGGAGATGTTAAAAAAAAAAAAAAAAAAAAAACTATGGCCATTTGGTGTGAAATATAGGCAGCCAGTGAGGACCTCTCCCTGCCCTAGTGGGTGGGACTTCTCTGATGACTTTGCCTTCTGAACTGCTAAATGTGGTCAAGAGCAGTTAAAGTATCTGTGCAGTTGAGGATGAATTAACAGGTTCTATATTTGCCTTTCTCCATTTGTGCAGGGTGGAGATGTCTGCCCAGAGATTAATTTCTAACAGAACGTCCCAGCCATCTGCACCTAATTCTGATTACACCTGGGAATATGAATATTATGAAATTGGACCAGTGTCCTTTGAAGGACTGAAGGCTCATAAATGTAAGTCTTATACCATTCCCCATTGTAAACATAATGTATTTGTCTTAACCTGTGAAATCTCCAGTGATTAATTTTCCTGAACATTCTTTTTATACAACTCTGTTCTGTATCCCTCAAGTCACAGAAAACACCCCTTCCAAACATAGGCAGATTGCCCAGGGACGGTATTACATGAGTGATAAAGAACTTGAAAGAATTCCTTAATGGGAGAACTTGGTCTCAAATTGAGATTTGTTTTAAAGTATTAATGATTCCACCTCTCCCAAACTGTGTGAACATTTGGTCCAACATTTGGACCAAGAATATGTACAAAAGAAAAGTCTGGAACTATTATTTGAAGAACTTTCTTTTGGGGGGATCCCTGGGTGGCGCACCGGTTTAGCGCCTGCCTTTGGCCCAGGGCGTGATCCTGGAGACCCGGGATCGAATCCCACATCGGGCTCCTGGTGCATGGAGCCTGCTTCTCCCTCTGCCTGTGTCTCTGCCTCTCTCTCTCTCTGTGTGACTATCATAAATAAATAAAAATTAAAAAAAAAAAGAACTTTCTCTTTTGTAATACATGGTCAGTGGCATCCTTTCAGCCCTCCTGGTTTTCTGGGACTGTAGAAAGCAGTCTATCTGTGTGTGTTCACAATGATGGACTGGAACATTCTGCAACCATTCCTAACTGCGTGATAGGCATGAATTGTGCTTCATGATATTGGAGTGATTAATAATCTAGCACAGAGTGAGGAAATACAGTTCTGTGCAACGTTATTGTTCAACTCCAGTCATAACTGCATGCTGACTGGCCAACTCAAAGCATCTGTTTTCCAGGAACTACTGCCCACTCCCAGGTAGGGAGTGGTTACCCCATAAATATTCCAGAGATGTTTGGTTGTTTCAGAATGAATATCCAGAGCACCATAAACACTTTAGGCTCTTAACAGCTTCAGCATAATGGGACGCATTACGAACTCTAAGAAAGATTAGAAATGGAGATGCAAATATGGCAAAGGAAATGCTTTTGCACTTTTAGTATTTCCTGGATGGTGCCACTCTGACCTGTCTTGGTGTTCATGATGCCTCACATTCACTTGCTGCTCCCTTGAAAGGAAGAATTTCTAATTTTTTTCAGCTTTCTTGAGATATAATTGACAAAACTGTAATACATTTAAAGGGTACAAAGTGATGATTTAATATATGGAGACATTGTGAAAAGATTCCCTCCGTGGAGTTAATGGACACACTCATCACCTCAGATATTTTTCTTTCTTTCTTTTCTGGTGAGAACATTTAAGTTCTACTGTCTTGCAAATTTTAGTTATACAATACACATTGTCAACTATACTAACCATGTTTTATGTTAGCTCCTCAGACCATATTCCTCTTATAACTGAAAGTTTGTACCCTTTTACCAACTTCTCCCTGTTTCCCCCAGCCCCTGGCAACCACTTTTGTACTCCCTCTTCTATGAGTTTGAGGGTGTTTTTTTTTTTTTTTTTGGTTCCACATATAAGTGTTACCATGCAGTATTTGTCTGCGCTCTATTTGCCTTATTTCACATAGCATAATGCCCTCCAGGGTTCATCCATGTTGTCATAAATCACAAGAGACTTTCTTCTTTTTAAAAGCTGACTGATATTTGTGTGTGTGTGTGTGCATCTATGTAAGTGGTGCTTCCGTGCCTTAGTTATAGTGAATAATGCTGCGGTGAACGTGGGAATATAGATATCTCCTTAAGATAATGGTTTTGTTTCCTTTGGATATCTAGCTAGAAGTGAGAATGCTGGATCACAGGTAGTTCTATTTTTACTTTTTTGAGGAACCTTCTTCAGACTATGTATTATAGTGGCTGTACCAGTTTACATTTCCACCAGCAGTGCACTTATAGTTTCTTTCTTTTCTTCACATCCTTGCCAGCACTTTTTATCTCTTGTCTTTTTTGATAATAGATGTCCAAATAGGGATGTAGTATCTCGTTGAGGTTTTGGTTTGCATTTCCCTGATGATTAGTGATGTTGAGCACCTTTTCATGTACCTGTTGGCAATTTGGATGTCTTTGGAAAATATCTATTTGGGTCCTTCTCCCATTTTTTAATTGGATTGCTTTTAGATATTGAATTGTATGAGTTCCTTATATTTAGATATTAACCCCTTATCAGATATGTGGTTTGGAAATATTTTCTCCCATTCCAGAGGTTCCCTTTTCCTTTCATTGGTGCTTTCTTTTGATGTGCAGAGGCTTTTGAGTTTGATATAGTCCCACTTATTTATTTTGTTGCATTTGCCTTTGCTTTTGGTATCAAATCAAAAAAATCATTGTTAAGACCAATGTCAAGGAGCTTGCTTGCTATGTTTATGACCATTATTTCGAACTCTCTATCAGACAAATCACTTATTTCCATTTCATTAGGATCTGTTTTTGGAGATTTATCTTGTTTTTCAACTTGAAACATAGTCCTCTATTTCTACACTTTCCTTGACTCTCTGTGCTAGTTTCCTTGCATTAGAGAAAACAGCTGCCTCTCCCAGTTTTGGGTGGTCTTGTGTAAGAGAACAACCTTGTCATTTAGCCTAGCCTGGCATCCTAGTTGCCTCTTGAATTTTTATGATTGTCAAAGCAAACTTCTTTGTTCTCTGTGGCTCTCAGTAGTTCAGGGCATGTCAAGACTTGTCTGTGTCCCCAAGGGGAAGACTGTGGTGAGCTCCTAAACGCAGCCTGATTAGAACCCAGATCCTTAGGCAGTAGCTGGGAAAGTATGCAATTAAACCCCTCCCAGGGAGAAACTAGGAGATGGAAGTATTGTAGCAGGGGTGCAGGGGTGCAAGAGCACCCAGCTCTGGGGTTCCTAAACATATCAGGTTTGGCCACTTGTAGCTGACAAAATCCAAAGGCAGAAAGATGAGTGCTGGTGGAACAAGAAAGGAATTTGTTTCAGTGAGGCTAACATCAAGAAGACAGCAGACTAGTGTCTCAGACTGTCTCCAAAGTGACACGGATACTTCCAGGTTTATTTAAGGAAAATGTGAGACAAAGGTGGGCGGTAAAAGTCAGATTGATCATTGTCTTAGAGTCAGTCATGGGCAGGGTCTTGCTGACTCAGGTTAGTCTTTTATTGCTGGATGGGGTAGTTTCGGTTCCCATCAGGGGATGCTTTGCCCAGGAATCTTTTTCCTGAGTTAAGAGATAAGCTGGAAAGAAGTACTTAATTAGAAAGTTTGAGGTTTAAATGGAGGTAGTAGAGTTCTTTCAATTTTTGCCTGAGTCCTCTCTTCTAGGCCAAGTAGATAGCTGTAAAAGTGCTCCTATGCTTGTTTAGAACTGCTTCTTTGTTTGCTATAGTCCTATAGGACTCTCAAATGTAAGCACTATTGGTATCAGAGCCAGCAGACTGGGAGCCCATCCTTTGGGTTGTAGCCACAAGAACTAGGGTGTCAGACTTGTATATAAGCTCTTTACAGGGAAATACTGGTGACTCAACCAAGTCTCCCAGTTTTCATTGGAACAGACTGGAGGGAGAAGTCAGGGTTGGTTGCCAGCTTCCCTGCACTCTGGGAAAGATTGCAGGAAACCACTAGATGTGTGCTAAATTAGAAGCCTGGCATTAAGGCAGCATCCTTTAAAGTATGCAGGTAAACCCCTTTCAGGCAAAGAATGGGAAATGAGTGTTTTGGCCTGCTTCCTCTGCATTGAGCCTTGGTGGGATAGCTGTGGTGAAGCCTTGCATGCCCTTGAATTGCTGCTTTTTTGTTTGCTATAGTCTTTGGGTTCTCATGGCCCCAGCCCTTGTGGCCTTCAGAGCTAGCTATTTTAGGGGCTCATCTCTGTGCAGTAGTCTTAAAAGTGGAGCTCTAGATGTGCTGTCCAAACCCTTCCCTTCTTACGGAGAAGCTGGAAGTTGGAGGTTTCCACCCAACCGTAGGTTGCTCTCTGCTGGGGGTGGAGGTTTGTCAAGAGTGTGTCTCAGCTCTTCTTCATTTGCTAGAGGTATAGGAGTGACTTAGCTAGTTTCTGGATATCTTTCAGAGGAAATTCCTTCATACATAGCTGTATATTCAGTGTTTTTGTGGAAAGAGGGGAGCTCAGGAGCCTCCTAAGTCTCCATCCTGGTCAACTGCCCATTCGAGCTAATTAAGTGATCTAGCCTTTGTCCCCATTTCCCTGTTGCAGAAAGGACTGCAAGATCCCAGGCTTCATTTGTGGGTCTTTGAGACCTGGAAGCCACTGTTGATTGGTGGCAGTGGTAGAGCCTCTAGTGGGGCAATTGGAGGGCAGCGATACTGTTAGAAGTTAGTTGGACAGTTAAGTAGTCAGGGTCAGGATCCCCAACAAGAAAGGAATCAGGACAGCTAAACCAAAACCCTAACATCCTGTTTTGCAGCTTAGAGAGGACTATATTAGCATTCTGTTTTGCAGCCTTTGCAGAAATGACTTCTGCAAAACATCCTAAAATAAGGCAAATAACCACCAAGCATTTGTCAGTATTACACGCAAGGGACAATTAAGACCTAAGGCCCTAGATGTCAACCAAAAAAAAAAAAGAAAAAAGGAAAAAAAAAAAAAAAGACCATCAGCACATTGACATTAACCTAGACTTTAACCTAGGTATGTGACCAAAGCCCTGATTGGCATGACTCAGCACACTCTGATTGTTTAAGATAGTTCCACAAAGAGCTCATAAAACCCCTAAACTTCCTCGGACACCCCGTCCCTCTCTCAGAGTTTTATATTATTGCTTAATAAACATTGCTTTGCTGCCCACCACTCTTCATCTGGTCTACCTCTTCATTCTTTGAAGTGATGTGACCAAGAACTGTGGACACTAAAGGCAGAGAAAATCCTGTAACAATATTCTGGCTGGTTCCACATCCTGGTATCCACTAGTGGGGCGCAAAGGGCTTCAGTTTCTCATTTATTGGATCAAGGACTTACTATATTTTTTCCTTAAGAAGTCATTAATTAAACCATATATCATTTATCCCTGAAGTGAATAGTAATAGTTAGATGCTTTCACTCC